GTTTTTATATTTAAAATACAGTTAGTTAGGCAACATCAACCAACGTTTTCACCATTACGACTGTTTAATAGTTCTATAAACAGTTCAATAAGCAAATACAATAACATTAGGTCACTTACATTTTAGGCGCAACCATTTCACAGCAACAAGCAGATTCATTGCTGATTTGATTCTGTGTTTTGAACGAATCGGTTGAGTCAAAGTTTCATTAGCCCATGCATAAACATCTGATGAATCTGCCGTTTGAACGAATCGTTTGAATGAACGACTCAATGGCTCACTCATTAAACGCTCACTACTGGCACCTACTGGCGTTTTAATTTAGTTGAAAAGTATCATTTCCACCATCATTTCTTGTTTGTATATTCCAAAAAATATTTAAAACAATCTCATAACATTATTCAATGCAGTTGTATTATTTCAGTGTAAATTATTTAATTTGACAGCGTATAGATAACAATAATCACATTATTATAATTTAATTTACGGATTAAATGTAAGAATTTGAAATGAAAGATGAGGTATTAAGGAGGTTTGGGGGAAAATGCCCTCTATAAAGGTAAAAAATGCCCTTAGATTAAATATAAAAAACATTCAGATTTATATGTCACAGCTGATAGAAAACTGATACAAATATTGCTTCAGAATAAATAATATATGCAAAACAAAAAACAAAACAAAAAAAACAACAACAAAAAAAAATATATATATATATAAGCCCGACACCATAGAGCACACCCCCCACATATCAAATCCCAATTTAACCCCTGTATATATATATATATATATATATATATATATATATATATATATAATTTTTATATACAGTATTTTATTTCAGTTAATGTTTAACTTAATTTAAGTAATTTTTCAATGGTTTTCAATGGTTTTTATTTTTCAAATGGTTTAATAATAACCCTGCTTGAGGTAAAGAATGCATGGGAAAAAATTGTAGCATTGGTGCCGCTATATTGTTGAATTATTTTTTTTTTACCAAATAAATTTTGTTCCCATGCTCTCGTATTATGCCTTTCCATTCTCCCGGATTGTTGGTTGCTAACTGTCTCCATCGTGCATGTCTGTGAACAGGTTCCTGCAGGGATTTCGGACAGGAGTTTGAGCGGACGTTCTCGATCCCGGGTGAAGTGGCGATACTGGAGTGCCCACTGCAGATGCATTATCTCTTTAATCCTGCAGATACGGCGTACAGCGTCACATGGTACGATGAGAGAACGGGCTCTGAGATCACAGAGCTGGAGCAGAGCGTCATGCTCAAGAAAACACAAGTGTGGTTCTTCAACGTCACCATGCAGCAGCAAGGAAAGTACACATGTGTGGTCAGGTATGAACTTTTGAGTTTTAAAATGATTCTGTATGTTTGTCAATAAGAATCTGTCCGAAGCAATGGCTCATGGGACGCACCAAGCCACTTCACTCAGCAAACTGTTTTGCTCAAAGTAGGAATTAGAAATGTGACAAAAAACATTTTTATTTCTCAATATTTTTGGGATATTGTCATAGCGTTGTGCTGATAGACGATAGTATTGTGTAATAGTTATTATCAGCTATTATTGTTTCTTATTATAAATAGTTTTTGCTGCTTCATATTTTTGTGGAAACCTTGAAACATTTTTTTTTCATGAATTTTTTGAGGTATAGAAAGTTCAAAAGCATTTATTTAAATAATGTATTTTGTAACATTGTGAATGTCTTTACTGTCACTTTTGAACAATTTAATGCATCCTTGCTGAATATAAGCATTATAAAAAAAATAAAATAAATGACTTGCTCACCCCAAACTTTTGAATGGTATGTATAACGTTTCTACAAAAAAGTTTTCAACATTGCTAATAATCAGAAATGTTTCTCGAGCAGCAAATCAGCATATTATACTGATTTCTGAAGATCATGTGACACTGAAGACTGGAGGAATGATGCTGAAAATACAGCTGCGCATCACAGGAATAAATTACATTTTACAATATATTCACATAGAAAACTGTTAAAGGGATAGTTCACCCAAAAATTAAAATTCTGTTATTAATTACTCACCCTCATGTCGTTCCAAACCCGTAAGACCTTCGTTCATCTTCTGAACACAAATTAAGATATTTTTGATAAAATCTGAGAGCTGTCTGACCCTCTGTAGACAGCAATGCAACTGCAATGTTCCCAAGTCCAGAAACGTAGCAAGGACATCGGTAAAATAGTCCCAGAATGTAATCAGCGTAGTTTACGTTCAGTAGACTTCAGTAGTACGTAAACAGCGTTCAATAAACTGGTTAAATGTAAATTAATTGAATCTTACACTGTGGTACATGAACATGATGTTGTCATTGCGATCGTGACTACCGTATCATGAGGCTACTCCTGTTTGCATTGTGATCTAGGGCTGCACGATAAATCGAAATGGAATCGAAATTGCGATTCGACAGAAGCTGCGATTGTCATGCGTATCTTTCATTGAAGCATGGTTCTGTGATCAGTAGTAAATCTCCATCCGAAGGCC